TGAGATGCACTGTCTGCCCCATACACCCACCGTGGTGGGACCAGCATCGCCCAACTGCTACAGACATGACCCAAAAGAGGGGAAACAGCAAGTGGCCATCACCAGTCTGCAGCAGTTCTGAGATGCAGCAGGGCTCTGTTCCCAGTTCCTCCATCAGGGCCCAGTCTTACTCTCTGGGAACACTTCTCTGGGAATCTGGCTCCACCCTCTGGGCCCTCAGTCCCAACCTCTGAACCATCTTTCCTTTTTTCAGATGTAGCTCAGGACTGAATCCGAGTAGTTTCTTCCGGTTGCTTCTTGCCTGCAGAAATTTGGGGTTCCAAGACCCCCTTTTCATTTTCTATGGTATGTCTTCCTTTAACTCAAACTGATGTGCTTCCTTCTGAAACAGTGCTTCTTATTTATTCGTGATTGATTAACATACCCATGAAAGCCACATCCACAAAACTCACTCTACCTCACTCTACGTTGGGCTTCCAGTGGTATTTGCAGGGACAGTGTCCTTCAGATTCTTAGAGATCCTGTCGTTTGCAAGAGAAGATGCATGAGGCGTGCCTTCAAGATCCTCAGAAGGCCTTTTGTGTGTCTGAAAGGCTCTGTGAGGTAACACCATAAATCTTCCTGAAGTTTTAACGGAGGATTTCTAGTCGTGCTTTTGGGTCTCATCTTTAAACCATATTCTCCTGACAGCAGCGTGGATTTGAGCTCTGTTCAGAGCCCTTCCTAAATGGTACCACTGTTTGCCATCCAGAGAGGCTGGGAATGAGAACCCAGCAAACCCAGCAAGTCCTGGCTCTCTTATCTTTTATTTTTAGAGAGAGAGCATGTGCATATGAGTGGGGGAGAGGGGCAGAGGGAGAGAGAATCTCAAGCAGGTTCCTTGCTCAGCACAGAGCCCAATGCAGGGCTCGATCCCATGACCCTGGGGCCATGACCTGAGCCAAAATCAAGAGTTGGACGCTCAACCAACTGCTGGCTCTTTTGTATTTAACGGCTGTTTCTTCCTCTTACATTCTACTACGAACACTGCCCTCACATGTCCTTAGTTTGGCCATTCAGTTCATTAGGTACACATTTTCTGTAGATTGTCAGGTTCTCTGCTGCTGTGTAACAAAGATCCCCTTTCCTCCAGAATCCTGTGTTTTCAGCCTTCACTGAAAACCTTCACTAGAGCCTCAGCTTTCTCTGTCTCTTCAACATCTTCCCAGCCCCTGCCCACTGCCCAGTGCCACTGTGTCTCAGGAGTAACCATTTCTAGAGACCAACACCTCCTCAAGTGATCTGCTGTTATGTACACAATCTCTTCAAAACTTAGTGGCTTAAAACAACAGCCATTTATTTCTTGCTCTTCCTGTGGGCCAGGAATTTGGGAGCAACCCAGCCGGGCAGTTCAAGCTCAGGGTGTCTCATGAAGCTGCAGTCAGGTGGCGACTGGGGTCATCTGGAAGGTTTTGTCCACTCACACATCTGTGCTTTGGCCAGTTGTTGTGGACGAGAAGTGTTAAATGGTGATTGGAACTTACCAAATCTTCTACTTTCACTCTGATAGAAATAAATTCTCTTTACAAGTCGTTCTGTTGTTGGCTATGTGAAACAGACTCACCGTGCAATAATCATCACTTGATGGAAGACCTTTCCCAAGTGGGTTTTGGGTTCACAGATTGTGGATTAATCTGGGAACGGATCGCACTGGGAAAAGACGGAATCCAGGACTTTTTCCTTTCTCTTCTGTCAATTCTATCCCTCTCTCTGATGTAGCATAATGCAGTCTGCAGACGGCAGCAGCAGCGTGATCTTGCTTATAAAACGTACAAGTTTTGGAAACATCATTTTTACATATGGGAGTGATACTAAAAGCAGCTGTAGTGACGACCGATTTATATTTTCTAAAATTTGTTAAGTCTGGTGCTGTGATATCCCGAAAAACAAGACATGGAAGAGATGGGTTCAGAGTGAACATGGAATATGGAAGAAGCTTCGGAGGTGCAAAGGGGCTGAATACCACTTCCTGAAGAAGATACTCCAGGCCCGAGTTTCTAAAGTGGTTTTTTTTTTTTTAGTAGATTCTATGCATAATGTGGGACTTAAACTCACGACCCCAAGATCAAGAGTCGACACTCTGCTGACTGAGCCCGCGAGGCACCCCAGGCCCAAGTTTCTAAAGAAAAAAAAACAACAACAGAACATCTGGGCATCTGAGTGAGATTCCTCCAATCAAGACTGGATGGAGTAAAAATATGGAGGAAAAGAGTTTGGCATTTTAATTTATCTGGGACCATAATCTAACCTAGACAGGCTTCACATCGAATGGACCCATTAGCTTTTGCTGCATAAACCACCCTAGGTCCCGGTGACAATAAACATTCCTCAAGGGCCTGCACCTTGGCTGGGACTTGGGTGATCCAGACTGGCTAAGTAATGTGTCTGTGGTGCCAGCTGACCTAAGCTGGGCCTGTCTAGGGCACCTTGGTCAAGTGTTCCTCCCCTCTTCTTCCTGAGACCAGTAAGAGAAGCCGGCCTGTTCTCGTAGCAGAGACCAGAGTGAAGACGGCCCAACCACGTTCGCACACTTCGAGCACGTGCTTGTGTCACGTCTGCTAACATTTCATTGGCCAAAGCAAGACACAAGGCAAAGGATGAGGAGGCAGGAAGGGGTGGAGAACTGGGACCTTTTGTACGATCTGCCACAATCTGTCTCCTTGCCAATTACTCATGTAAAATTTCCTCATCCTCCTCTAAGGATCCTCCCACATTTCTTCCAGTCATGCCATCCAGCTAGAAGTCTGGGATCCTGTGACCCACATCAGCTTTTCCGTGGCACAGAGGCTTATGAACTTTTTAAAAGACCTGTTCTTGCCCACTTTCTCAGTTCAGACTACCATAATGAATACCATAGACCGGGTGGCTGAAAACAACAAACCGTTTCTCACAGTTCTGGAGGCCGGAAATTCGCAATCAAGGTAGTGGAGGATTTGGCATCTAGTGAGAGCCCTCCTCCTGGCTGGTGGACCAGCTGCCCTCCCACTGTAGCCTCACACGGAGGAGAGAGAGGCTAGTTTTCTGGGGTCTCCGCTTTGAAGGGCACTCATCCCATCACGGGGGCTCCACCCTCAAGGCCTAATTACCTCCCGAAGGCCCCGCCCCCACATACCATTTAAATGGGGACTTGGATTTTGCCGTATGAATTTGGGGCGAACACAAACATGTAATCTATAACACCCGCACAGAGACAAACGCAGTGGTGACGAGACAGGATAGCGCCCCTATGTGAGGACGAATTACAGCAGCTGATGACTTACAGCAATGTTGATGTGCTGTAGGCAAATACTGTCTGGTCTCTCACTGTTAAGGATAAGGAATATTCCTTGATTAGGCCTTGGTCCTGGAACCTAAAAACAGTTCACTAGTGCAGGTACTGGCACACTTTTTTTGGTAAAGGGCCAGATTATTCATTTTTTTTAGGCTTTGTAGGTCAGTTTGTGTGTGTGTGTGTGTGTGTGTGTGTGTGTGCGCGCGCGCATAACAACTCTTTAGATATGTGAAAAGCATTCTTTGTTCAAGGGCTGTAGTTTGCTAACCCCGCCCTTCTTCATTGTTCTGCACACTTGTCTGGGCTCTCCGAGTGGGTCGCAAGTGAGTCGCGTTCTTCCTTTTCCATCACACTCCTTGGCCACTTCGGAGGAGGGAATTGAAAAATACGTCCGTTCTGGCTACTGAGCCTGCTTTCTGCTAGTAGAAAAATTGGGAGCCAGGAAACCTTTCTACATTTTGGAGAGTCCTAGTCTTTCTTCATCCAAGCTGGCAGCATTTTTGCTAACATGGCTGCCTCCAAAACTTAGCGGGTTTTCTCTGTATTTTATTCCGTTCCATTCATGTACCAAAAGCCAAGCAATTCTTATGTTTAGCTCTCTAGGCCTAATTGCTGCTACTTTGGTCGTATCTGGCTGCTGTGAGATCATGCCCTTCAGATCCCTAGAAGCCTGTGGTAGGCAGAATTTTAATACAGGTCCTCATGAGCTGTGATACCCGGGATTACTCCTATGATTATGTTACATTATATGGCAAAAGGGGGATTATTCAGGCACACCTCATCTAATCACATGTCCCCCCATAAACCCTTTAAGTTATAAAGTAGAATTTTCTCTGGCTAGGAGGTGATATCAATGATTAAAATGTTAAGAGGCACCTGTGTGGCCAGGTGAGTTAAAACAACTGACTATAGGGGCGCCTGGGTGGCTCAGTCGGTTAAGCATCCGACTTCGGTTCAGGTCGTGATCTCGAAGTCGGTGAGTTCAAGCCCCTCATGGGGCTCTGTGCTGACAGCTCAGAACCTGGAGCCTACTTCTGATTCTGTGTCTCCCTCTCTCTCTGACCCTCCGCCTATTCATGCTCTGTCTCTGTCTCAAAAAAAATAAACGTTAAAAAAAAAAAATTTAATGAAACAACTGACCATAGATTTCAGCTCAGGTCATGATCTCACAGTTTGTGAGTTTGAGCCCCACATCAAGCTCTCCCTCTCTCTGCCCCTCCCCCGCTTGCTCTTGTCTCGTTCTCTCAAAATAAACTTAAAAAAAAATTAAAATATCTGTCAATACGTTAACCACACTTGTAGTTAACATTCCATAACGTATAGAGCTGCCAAATCACTACTTTATACACCTGAAACATCGTGTGTCAACTACGCTTCAATTTAAAAAAAAAAAAACAGTGTAAAAAATGTTGGGAAATAACGTTAAAGCAACATTTATTGAGCTCTTGCTGTGTGCCACGGCAGGTGAGGGCTGTGGGGAAGCAGAACCAAGAACCTGCCCCCAGGGTCTATTGTCTTAAGGATGGGCTTATATGATCTGATGAAGAATCAGTTCTGCAGAATTACCGCCCAAGGACACACTGCGCGCCAGGCGGGGCTGAGTAAACAGTGTGCACCCAGACCTACACTACAGTCCGGGTAAAGCGAGGCGCAGAATTGGAAGCAAAACGCAAGGCAGAATGAAACCTACGCTTCGAGCAAAAATCCGGGCGGAGGCTGGGCTGGGCGGCATGGAGAGCAGGGCCAGGCAGGGAGCGTCGGGGACAGCCACCTCCCGGGAGGCCAGGGCGGGTGGCGGCCGGGGCGGGACGGCCCAGACCCAAACCCCTGACGCTCAGCACGCCCCCCCGTAGTCCGCTGCACTAAAGGACTCTAGCAGTGCCGACCCAATTCGGCTACTCACGACTGAGAACGTTAAGCAGCTAAGAGTACAACGCAGTCAGCGCCGTCCCCGGACCACGCTGCGCGCCACACGGGCGCAAAGAGGCCGACGTCTACACCGCCAGGCCTTCGGACCCAGCCCTGCGCCCTCGGCGTGCCGGGACCTACGGACCGCGGACGGAGCGCGGCGCCGGGGCCGCGCGGCCGCAAAGGAGCTCCCTGGTGTCGTAAAAGGGCCGCACGTGAGCACAGCTCTGGCAGACGGCTGGGGCTCCATTTTGGACGCCGTCTCCGCTGCGCCAAGTTGGGGGAACCTGTTGCTCGTCACGGAGGCGCTCCCGCCGAACTCGGCCCCGCACCGGGCGCTCGCGGCCGGCCGGCCGGCGTCCTGGCTTCGGTGTTTTTTTTTTTTTTTTTTTTTTTTTTTTTTTTTTTTTTTT